GCAGCAGAACTATAGAGATAGCTCAGGAATTAATCTTTATTTGGATCAGAACCTTTTTCTGTAAAGCGAGGATTGAAATGATCGTTTAGACGGAGCAGTGATGCCCTTTTTAGAGGCTAACTGGATGAAACATTGAGCCTCCTTCGTCTCTGGATCAAACGGAGAAGCTAAGCCTCAGATTCTGGCCAAGCCTCCACTGATTCTGTCGCTGAGACCCGAGGAGCCCAGAAATAGTATTTGATGGATAAACACAACAAGGCGTACAGATGGCTTTACTTCCTCAGCCGTCTCCAACCTGCTGTCTTCACGCAGCTTCTGCTGAAACGCTGCTCTGCATTCTTCACCAAGGTCAGCGGACCGTCTGGGCCCCGCTAACAGCTCCTCTCCTCCATGTGCACGCTCAGACAGGCATGGCAGCTCGTTAGCGGGGCAGCAGTGAACACGGCTAATCATGGTTCCTGGTTGGTTGGATGGAGGAGGACAGGCGGGTCTTCATGCTGAGGAGTCAGAGTCGTTCCTCTCTGGATTGTTGAGTCTGAGGCAGACGGTCCTGCAGCTCTTTGCTCTTAGACTTTAAGGCAGTTTTAGCTCATTTCCAAGGTGAATAATTTCAGTTCTCTTTATTTCATGTTTAACCAAGTAACCGTTACTTATTCAGCATGTAGACAGAGACACGGATCAGGCAGGTTTAAAGGGGTGTTTCTGCGTAGATTAGGGGGAGAAGGTTTAACCCTAACCCAGGGTTAACCAGCAGGAGGCGCTGTTCACTAACCTTTACAATGTTGGACACTTTAGATGTTTGTTAAAATTCAAACTGTGACATCACAGGAAAGGTTACTCCCTCTATCCTTCAGCATCACCTCACGTCCTTCATCCCAGTAAAGGTCTGCTTATCCTCCTGCAGCCGTGTGTCGCAGTTAGATTGTCGCAGGTATGATGCACATATTTATGATTTATGACAAATATTGTCTTAGCTATATTATTCCATGCCACGACGCCAGAGGGACAATCAGGAACTAGCGAGGATTGTGGGTGTTCATGTGTCGGTTTGATGAGCTTGTTCAGCCTCTACAACGCTGGTGGAAACGGTGAAACGGCAGAACCAAGAACAAACTTTCCTCTTTCTAATATTTTTTTCCTTTTGAATCCAGACATGTCTGGAATATTTAGTTCTGAAGGTTCTGATCGTTAGGACGTTTGGATCGCTGGGGCTCTGATGGACCTTTAGAAGGAAGAGACTCATGGTCTGTTACATAAACGGAGACTGTCCAGATATCTAGAGCCGTTCCAGAGATCCGGAGCCGTTCCAGAGATCCGGAGCCGTTTCAGAGATCAGAGCCGTTCCAGAGATCAGAGCCATTCCGGAGATCC